AAGCTCACAAGCTGGAAGCTAGCTGGCCATGCCAGTCACAGGACATTTCATTCAGAGGAATGCCCCTTCACAGGGGAAGAGAACCAAAGTGACCCTGGAACCCCATGTCGTTTGAAGACCGATGTAGCCCTACGCGGTTGACTCCTCCCATGCAGATGTATTGTTATAGCAGACATAACCAGCAGGCAGTGGCATGAAGCAAAATCGCTCTTGTTTTCTGTTCTTGTTAAACAGCTCACCGTAAACATGAAAGGGTGGAGAAAGCAGGGGTTTTAAGGAAAATGTTCTCCTTGTTGTGAGATCCCTGAGGTTGGGCTTGTGGGCCTGATTCTGAATTCGCTTTGGCTTCATGCGGGTGTATGCCTGTTGTTTTTAATGAAGTCATCGCAGGTCTTACACCAGTATCAAACGAGAGTGAATCAGGTTGTATGCCTAAGAACCGCACGTGCATCTACAGATCATAAATAGCATTAGAGAAAAAAGTAAAAGTACTTGCCAGTAATTAGTTCTTTTAGATGTCTTCTCCTTTTTGCTATCTTACTTCCTGCCACCTCTCCAGTGGGATTACTGGAATCCTTATGGGAAAATATTGTCCACAGATGTTTGTAAAGGTTTCCAACAGAGTTGTGTGGGTTGGCCATTTGTATCTCAGGACATGGCCCAATTTGCCCTGAGTAGGATGCTAGACTGCAAAAGATAAAAGAAAAAGGGGTATTCAGGGAAGGTTCAGTTTTTTTCCCTTTAATAGGGGGAGATGACTATGACACAGATCCTGGATCAAACTGCTCTGAGTCTGGGTCACAACAATACATCTGGGTAACTGGGAACAGATTTTGGTCCTCTTCCTGGTCAGTAATTCTCCACCCATCTTTATGACATATTTTTTTACATACATAAGATGCTCCGGTCCATATATTTTTAGTGGTGTCTTTTAAATCTTTCTGTTGTGTTCATTAAAAAAAAATTTAAACTCAATCTTACTGAAATTCAAGTTGATGAAAAAAATAGTAATCAATACAACTTTAGGGGGACAAACCACTCTATTTAAAACAAATTAACATTTAAAGACCTCTCAGTGTTTAAAAAAAAATCTGCTGCTCCAAGTCTGAAAAACAATGTTCCAGTGCTAAAAATAGGTAATTTAAAGCATAAATGCCTCCTAGCTTATTTACAGATAGTTGTACGTCCTTAGAAAAAAAAAATTGTAATGGGCCTTAGGTCAGCTGCATTGATTTAATGCGTTACTTAGGCTGCCAGAGCAGAGGTAGATTCTCCTCACACTGCATTAGGAGTGCCTCAAGCCTCTGCGCCTCCTTTTGATCAAATCTCTGTGAAAGATGAGTGTCATGCCCTCTTCAAGCCAGCTGTGAGGGGACTGCCCTGTGACTGGAGGGGCATGCGGGAACACAGCACTCTGGGGCATGGAGGTGAGAGCTCGCAGAGGTGAGAGGCAGACACAACTTAGTACTGTAGGTCTGGAGAACACCAAGGGGGAGGATCTTGTTTCACTCCCCTGTGCACAGGCTGAGCATACATCAGACCTTGAGGTGCTCAGATTCAGACAAGAGTAAAGAGGCGTGTGATGGTTCTGCCTTAGTACTTGTACAGGCAGGAGTGTTTCCAGTACTTCTTTGTACAACTCGCTGAGGGAATGGGAAACTGTTTTATAGCTCTGGAAACACACGCACAGTAAGAATGTCGGAGGTAAGAAAAGTTCTTTGCAGTTCTGTATTCATGTGTATTTTCACTCTGCAACTTTTATTTGTGGCTGTAAAACCAGAACATTTTGGTGGTGTTCTGGATAATGAACAATAGGGGGGTGAAAGCTTTAGTGAACTGTGCTTTCAATTTCTGCCTTAATTACTAAATGATGCTCGATTCCTTTATTTTCAAAATCCTGTTCTTTTGCCCCAAATGCATTGTAAACAGCTGCACAGCTCTTCTATGAAAGTAAGTCATTCAGAATTATAAGCTGACTGTAATAAAGGAGAACCATCGCCTGGATAATTGTTTTCCCATCAAAGTAGTGGCATCCGTAAATCACAAATACTTGACAATGTTTAATTGTTCAGGTCCTGAATATACATTAATAGCAATAAAATCTGTGATTTGTGACTTAAATGTATTCTGAGTCAAGTGCTTCAAGCAGTTACATTATCGTTATTGTGACGTATAAATGCACTGGAGACCAGACAACAATACAATTTCACTATGAAGTTCTTTTGGAATTAGCACTAAAGTAAAGCCTAATGTATGCCCTTTAAATACAATTCACTGCTGACTGTTCAGCATCCAGAAAAATAAGGCCAGTAATCTTTTGCTTAGAGACCAGTTTGCTTGTCTGTATTGCAGTTTGATGTATGTTTTTACAGTGAAATAAGAGGCTAAGTATTGAATTAGAATTTAAAACCGGCATTTCATTTCTTTTGATTTTTTTTTTTTTTCATCCTGAAGAAAAACAAACAGAACATCATCTGCCAGTTTAATCCAGTGCTATTTTGTTAGGTGTGTTTAAGGAAATAGTGTTTTACTTTCTGCTCTGCTAATTGGTCAAGTACCCCAGCCCTCAGTTTAACGAATGCTTGCTTTAAAAATGAGGAGTCGGCAGATTGCTAAGCCAGGGAGAGGGTTTCTGACATGCACACAAACTATGGTTTGCCCTGTTTAAAAATGCTAGAGATAATACGTGACACATGCTTTTAAAAACAATGTTCCTTTTAGGTCAAAGAATTTGGGGAGTCAGGCAAGATATTAATATTGGGAAGGTAGAAGGAAAAGTAACAATTATTTGTCATCATTTTAGTTCTTTTGGAGAAAAAAAATCAGTGTTTTAAAAAGCAACTAGCAGTTAAATTGTACAGCTAATTTGAAGTTAGACTGTGCTGTGTTCATGTAGTTGAGGTTTCTGTTCAAGTATTTTATACATTTTTTTCTATTCATGTAACTACTTGGCTTCCTGAACCTCAGGAGCTGATTGTTTGTCTTATCTTTTGGTGAGCTAACTCTGTCTTATGTTGCAAAACCTTGAGGCATGTTGTGTTTCTTCGTGTTCTTGCAGTCTGCAAGTGAAGTCAGCTTCATTAGTTTCATGATGGCACATCAGTGCATGGCTGGTGTTGCCGCTTCCTTCAAGCTAGTCCCGGAGCATGATCTGGGCTGCCTTGGTTTGGATAAGCTTGTAAGGATTTGTCAGCCAGATGTGACAAGATTGTCAAGAGGCAAGTAAAGAAGGAGATCTGATATTAATCAGTGCATAGCTTGGAGCCAAACTTTCTCAAATGCAGTGTAGTAACATGTTCTTCTCATTTACTGCTTCTCTTTGTGGCTATAGAACTGCCACTGTCTGAGTTTGACGGTTAAAGGGATGCCAGCTAATAGTCTTTAATTGTAGGGATAAAATTCTAGGTGGAAAAAAGATCACATGATTCTATTTTTAACATTTTCAAAATTATAGTTCTATTTTCTGCCATTGAATGAAAAATATGTAGGCACTTGAATCAGGTTAGAGTCTTAGTCTCTATAGTAAGGTTTTCAAAATATTGAAACTGTGGCTCAACTCTAAATACTAGGGAGCATGAGCTGGGGGAGCCCCACTTTATTTTAGGTCACAGTTCAAAGAAAGATTCCAGGGATATTTTTGAATACTGTTGATAGGGTTGGGGAGGGGGGCAGTTCTTTGTTTTAGTAATGGTAGCAATTAAATATATTAAAGATCCTTTTCCTTCCTTCCTCAGTAGGAAAAGGATCTTTAATTTATTTAACTGAGCTTCAGGAGCACACGCTGTAATACTGCATTAGGTCTATGTTACACTTGGTTTATCATGCCACTAAGTTTACTCTAACAAATGCTGTAATTGTGGTTTTAAGTTAGAATTAATCTTTGGAGGTTTTTAACAGTTGCAGTATTGCTAAAATACAACTTTATTTAAGGAGTAGGTGAAGAGATGTGAAAAGTTATTTAGATTTATTTTTTTTGAGGACCTCAAATAAAACTGTTAGGAACAGTAAGTGTGACAAAGTTTAACTGCTTTGCAAATTCTTTAAACTGTAGAATCCTGACAACGTTAATAGGAATGACAAATGCAAACACATAGATACTCACTGAACCTTTACAATAATAGACAAATTTCATCCAAATCTTGGGCTGCATCCTGCACTCACTGCATTTGACGTAAAAACCTGCCTACCCTAGTGAAAGTGGACTGGGCCTTTCCGTACCAAATGTCTTGGGGGAAATACTTTGTATCCTCAGTGACTTTCAACAACAACATACACCATCTTTTCATAGAACAGCAAGTGTATCCTTTCATTTCTGATTGTGTAATCCCTAGACTTAGTTTATGCTTTTAGCAATAAAGTACTAATACTATCATCTAATTAACATTAAGAGTTTAGATCAACAGAATTTGGGTCCTTTTGTTTTAAACCATGGTTCCTACCATGTACCTTTTTTTAAGCAATATTTTTTTCCGTGGTGTGGTATGTATTGCCATGAAGTATCAAAGTGAAATTCAGGCAAAAATCTTGAAATCCTTGCTTTAGTAAAAAACTCAGAATCCAGTGAGAAAGTAATATAGCACTGACCGTGCGAGCCTTATCCTGATCCAGGCTGAAGTCCTTTTTCTAACTGGTCTTACATTCTGTCTTTGCAGTTACTCATTTTTGCCCTAGTACATACTATAGTTAAGGAGTTTTTAATTGCTTATAATTACTCAAAAAAAATGTGGACTGAAATATGCCATCCCCAGTCTCAGCCCATGGGTGATTTTATGGCAAGAGAAGGTCATCTTTATCCCCATTTTAGATTTATTAAAATCACTGTAAGACATTTTTTTAAATGTCCAGATCTTGACATTTCAAGATTTTGCACTTGACTAGTCTTCACTGAGGATTAGTGACTGCATGCATTTGAAAACGGATAACAGAATGAGACATGAGTTTAAAAATGGCTTCACTTATTACTGTAAAAAATGTATTAAGTTTTGTTGTGTAATTGCCTGTAGTGTAATAGAATTGCGTAAAATATTGTGTAACTTCATAGCCCTATAGATAGCATCTTCTGTTTAAGCCTATACATATGCCTAAATTTAAAATTTATGAAATTGCATAAAACAAAATTGTGCAACCATCTATTCCAGTTCACAAGTATTTTGTTTCATTTTTTTCCTTTTCCACATTTAAAAAAAGGGAGAAAATTAAATGTAAGAAAAGGTTGACACAACATTATGGTTTGGACTTAAACAGAAAAAGTGTAGAACGGTAAAAGTAAGAATTGCCTTTGCCAATTTAACTCACCCATACTATACATATGATGCTGTTAAACACTCTGACAGTTAAATGTGCACTTAAAATATAAGGACTATGTGTATGGCAAGATTTATAAATTTGCATTAATGTAGACTAGGGGGAAAACATTTCTTTTTTAAGTAACTAGTTTCCAGGTAGGTCTGAAGTGTAAATGTGTTCAATTGTATGTACATGGAGGGATAAAATATATTACATGTAAATATTAAATAAGAAACCGTCTGTAGTTTTTCTTAATAACTTTCACAAAGTTCAAATTCAATGACTTGTTCCTACCCCAGAAACTTCCATTTATTTATTTTTCAACAGTTGCTATATCTTATGAATATGTAATGATCTATTGTGCATTATGGAATATACAGCTGGAAATTTTCTTACGTTAACAGAAATGCATTCTCTTACAGGCTTACTTCAAAAGAAACTACTTTTACTTCATGCAATAGGTATTGCACGATCCCTTAAATGTTGTGGGGTATTATTATTTGTAGGTTCTACTAGGAAAGGCAGTTATGAAATGCACGTGATAACATTGTTACTGATGTAGCACATGAGAAAATAATTTCAGTTTGTCTATAGACTCCAGTTTACATAACATCCATGAGACAATGGCAGTGTGACTGCTTTCCATCCCCTAATTCTTTTTTCTCTGTCTTATGCTAATTGAATGCAAAAAATTGAGGATATGAATGTTTCCTGATTTGAGCAAACAACCGTCTTTCAATGAGCACCTGTTGTTTATAAATTTGTGACATTAATTATAATGTAAGATAATGTATCTACAAACATGTTGTCTAACAGAAAAATAAGGTTTACTGTCCAAGGTGTTTTGTTTAAAAAATACCAGTTGTATGTGTGTTTTCTTTTGCCTTTATAATTAGTTTGACAGTGGCCATTAACAACAGTTGCCCCGAGGGGCCCTGTAAGGTAAATGACTTGCATGAGGAGTGGTTTTCATCCCACAAGTTATGTTATCACTTGAGTCTGGTCTTCTGGTATGTTGTTACCTTCTTCAGATACACCCGGCTTCTGCTTACACAGTTGCACTCTCTCAACCTCTTGTTCCTGGACACCTATCCCTCAGCTGTGAACTTTCCTGTTAAGCAAGGAATTGCTGGTGTTTCAGTTTTGAAAGCCTTTGATATAATCACTTGACCTGGGCTTTGTTTTTTTCAGTCCAAAACCTTTTTATCAAAGGGACTGCAGATGAACTAAAGGCCTGCAATTCCTAACTCAGGCAAACCTCCATCTGAAACCAGCACACATGGGTGGTTTGACTGAGTGGGCTCTTTAGCACAAGGCCCACAGTTTGAAAACATAGACAGTACTAACTCAAGCTTCAGCTGGGCCTTCTTTGCATCCTCAGTTTTTTGGGTACATGCAATTTGGAAGAACAGTTTAAG